ATCTATGGGTGCGCAACATATCCATCACACACATAAAACCATAGTCACGGAACTGAATATATCCCTCACAGAACATACTCCCCTAAATATCCACACCCATACCTGGCTAGCCCATATAGAAGCAAATGTCCGATCAAGCATATACACTACAAGACAGTTGCAAAGAGACACAATTCTGACCAAGCACATATATACACCACAGAGATGTCTCCCCCTTCCCCCATTCAACGTTCAGACCTCAAACACTTCATTTGATTCCTTCAATTTCAAAATCTCTAAGTATGAAAATACATATTGTTGATAGTACATATGTGTGTTATTATGTTTGTAAAGTCTTCAATTAATATTTTTATATTCAACTGAACTTAATTGCTTATCAACAAATCAACAACTCCACAGTTATATTTTATGAAACAATCAGAATTCTAAATGATTCTATGTCGAAATGCATGAATGTATCTGTTGTTTTTCAGTCACGGAGTTGTCTCTAGTCAATAATAATTTCAACAAATGCTGGAACCAAAATCAAATTTTATCACATTCAGTTATGGATGTAACCGTTTCACTGGAATCTAATCAAGAACAAAAACAAATAAAATGGAAAGAAAAGTTCAAACCCCCAAAAGGCACATCTACAGCTGTACATGACATTTGGTGATGATGGGTCAATTAGTTTCAGAATTATGCTCCAGAAACGAACGTTACCCTTCAAAAAGACGAAGTCAAAATTGTATATAAAACCAACCCTCAACCCCCTTCAAAACTACATGAACGTTGGACCCCAAACAAGTCCCTCCGAGCTCAAAAGGCGAATCAAAAGGCTTGTGTTCAAAGGTACGAGTTATACGTCAAACGATTAGAAATCTTGCAGCTCATCTTCTTATTCGACCTCTACGTTTTGTGCCACTTCTTAAAAATCATCCGACGTCAGTGGTGCCACAACCGAAACTGGGTATCTTCATATGCTGGCACATGATTTCCGATCCACTTGGCTCGCCCCTGATACACATGGTCGTGTCTGGCGACGCCGAAATGAACGTCAAGTCAACGGCATCCTGGAACCTTATGGCACTTTAGACGTTTAATTGGTTATGATGGCGAACCCGTCTCCGGACAGTTGTAACACGCAAGGTGTCGAGTTTCGAGTTTCGAGTTTCAGGACGACAACGCCTGTGACATCACCGAGAACTGTCAGTGTTCATCTCCAGCAGCACAACATCCATAGTAAGTTGTGGCCAGCAATGAACCTAGACCTTTCTCCCACTGAAAACGTCAGGGGCATGACATGTGCGTAAACGCCACACACCGAAACCACGTTGGCTGAACGAACGGCGAATTACTAAGGCTGAAAATATAATCAGATTTGTTGACGTTTACTCAACAGCACCGACTATCCTTTGTTCCTGTATTCTTCATATTGTCAGGTGAACTCATGAGATTCTTGGGTATGGCAGGCTATATGGCGAATGTGGCAGATTTTCTTTTGTATATCAATTCTCAAATAAGATGTTTAAAATATTGGTTTAAGGTTCTAAATATGCACGAACAACGTCTGCCAAAATTAGCTTACAATATGCTTTTAAATCTGGATAATTTGGGAAAACACACTTGGGTAACTGATATCAGAAATTTATTATTTTCTCACGGTTTCGGTTTCGTATGGTTGTGCCAAACAATTGGCGATGTGAACTGGTTTATTAATGAATTTCGTGTTAGATCAATAGCTATGTTCAATCAAGAATGGAAATCCACCCTAGATTCAAGCTCACGATATGAATATTACAGGACCTTTAAAACGTTACTCGAGCCAGAAAAATACTTATCAATAATTACAACATATAGTTTAAGAACAATGTTCGTAAAGTATCGTTTAGGTTTGTTATCTTTAATGGTTAATGAGGGTAGAAAAACCTCTGTCCAGAAAGAAAGTCGATATTGTCCTTCATTTAACGTTGGAATAGAAAATGAAATTCATTTTACCCTCATATGTCCTTGTTATCACGAATTAAGACAGAAATATACACCGCACCATCTCTTTGCCAAGCAGCCCAATTATGCATATATATCTTTGTTACAAACCAATAATGAAAATATTCTTGCTCAATTGTCCTTATATATAAAATATGCATTAGCTAAAAGAGATCTTCTTATAAAGCGAATTGTATACTCTTAAATATATATGTAAATATCCAGACTATTCCTTTATCACTGTAACTCTCATGTATATGGGCCGGAGGCCTTTCATACAATAAACATCTTTTGACTTGACTTTGACTGCATTTGAAAAAGTCAAAGCCATATTCATGAATTCTCCAGTATTGCAGGCAACAAATTTTGAGAAAGCATTTAAGTTATAAATTGATGCAAGTGATGTAGGTGCAGGTGCTGTCCTGATTCAAGAGGATAATTCAGGAATTGATCACCTAGTTTGTTATTTTTCCAAGAAGTTTGACAAGCATCAAAGAAATTATTCTACCATTGAGAAAGAGACATTAGGTCTTTTGCTAGCTTTGCAGCATTTTGAAGTGTACCTAGGTACCACTACTTTGCCCATTGAAGTGTTTACTGATCACAATCCCTTGACGTTTCTTCTCAAAATGAAGAACAAGAATCAAAGACTTATGAAATGGAGTTTGACCTTGCAAGGGTTCAATCTTGTGATTAGTAAAGGCAAAGACAATGTTTGTGTTGATGCACTTTCCAGGTTGTAAAAGCATAATGACTTGATGCTGTTGTATGTTTGTATCTCAATTATATCTTAGTAATTCTGCAAGAGGTTTCTCATGTTATTCATATTATTACATGTCATCTTATTATGTTGGTTATCTTGCTATGATTGTAACAGACATTTTATATTTATGACCCAATATTTTAGATTTGTGACTCAACTGCATTGTACTAGAAATCTGTATTGTAGTTTGATCATTTTTTACTCAATATATTATTGAATATTGTAGACTTGTCTGTGTTCTATTTTGCTGGTTCAAAGGGGACTCTTAAACCTTTTGTCACGGCAAATTATTAACCGTAACAACATGGGATACGAGGCCTCTCTTGATTGGAACTGGGGTTCATCTGTTACTGAGAATGAGGCTTAATTCTCCGGAATCCGTAAATAAATTTCAGATCATAGAATTACTACCAAAGTAAACGTTTCTGGAATAATGAAAAATCATTAAAATACAAAATCTGATATTGAAGTCTTATATTTGAATCGTTGTTGTGAGAATCCTTCATTGTTATCTGTAACTTCCGCTTGCAGTTCCACTCATCCTGTTTTCCTGCAGCAAATCATGCAAAGACTGATGAATTACAGATTTTATAATCTCAGAGTAAGCCAGCGTTTCCTGTTTGTTATGACAGTTGTGCAGAACCTTTAATGCATTAATGGCAAAGTGTTAGCTCGAATAAAAGCTATACTAAGCATTTTGGTAAAATATTTATTCAACCCCAGTCTTACGGTTTAACAAATCATAATATGACGTGGAAAAGATCATTGTCCTACTTAAATTATCATGTACCCATTGAAAATTATCTCTTTCTGTATTTACTCAATCAGTTGTTTGAATAATTTGCCATAGTTATCTTTATTTCACATATTTACATTTCTGAACATACATAGTCGGTGTTTGTGATGCAAATACCATAATTGTTTGGTTATTTAAGATATAATCTTATACAGGATAATGTGAACCTTTGTCGTTACGTAGAAAAAATAATGTTAGTTTTGCAGAAGAATAACATGATTCGGGACAATTAAAGTAGTTATACACTTGTAGCATTAAACAATATTTTTACGACAAATCACCTGTTTTATCTTTTTGGTCGTAGCTACAGGAGCGGTCAGTGGTCAGATGCACAAGATTGATAAAAATGTGCCCTCAACCAAGTCTCACAAAAAAGGGAATCATACAACCCAGTTCGGATTTAGTTGTCGACTTAATCCTAAAAAGACAGAGAGCTGACTACTGAATCTCAGGTACCACAGTGTCTTGGTTGTCTCTAGTCAGCAAATCCCAACGGCGTCGGAAGTTGCTCATGAATCAACCAATAGCTTGTCTGGTAAAAAGCTCGTGTATTTTAAGGTCGCAGTGATGTGAGTGGTATTTTGAGAAAGAACGAAATGTACTCCGAATTCCGGTACCAAGAATCAAATTCCCACATCGAGACTGAGGCTAATTAATGTGTGTATTTTATACATAGATAGTCCAAGTCCAGTGTCTACTGTCTAAGTCTGAAGTATAATTCCCAGGACTGTCTAAGTTCTAAGACTCTAGTAATCTTCATTAAAGTGTTTGTCAGGTTTCTTTCCTTGGTTGATTTTTTTTTCCAAATTGTTTGGGTTTTTTTTTAGTTTAGAATAATCTATTCACTTATTGTATACTTATTATTTTGTGTGGGTTTGGTCGACCTGGGTCATTATAGGTCTCTTTACGTACAACGTATCAAATGAATTTAAGTAAGATCAAACTCACTGGTGGCAATGCAAAACAGGCAGCACAGTGATCTCCCTTTATACGTCTCCATTCACAGGTGTATTTGGTACAAGGACAAGAAGGTACAAGGTGTGCGTAGAGCAACGAAATGTAAAATATTTAAAGAATCATTTAAATTATGAAAAAACACTCTCTGAGAAAAAAATCAGTACCTTGAATATAGACCATATGGCTTCCTTAGAGTTCAAACACATGTTCTTACACATTTATAAACAAGTAGAAATTATGCGTTTCAGAACTGTGGATATCTTCCCACTGGGTGAGTGAATAAGGTTTTATGACGCTATTAGCAATATTCGAGTCATGGTGGGGAACAGCAAAAATGGACCTCCTGCTTCCCATTTTCACGTTACTTCCCAAAGATGTCATAATGTACGACGTACCTACTGATACATGATACCGGATATAAACTAAACAAATGATGCGGCTGGCTTGACATAAAGTACCTTATCACATCCTATCTATGGCATGACTAAGTAAGATATGTGCTGGCTGACAACTTACCACATACTGCACTGTTCAATTCAAACTCGCACGGCCATCTGGAAAATAAGCACTGGTTCAGTTTTAGAAAAAGTCCATATTTAACTTACGGTTAGATCGATGACAAATAGCGCACATCAGTAAAGTGAATTGAAGGATGGATTCCAGATGATGGCGCAAACCCGTTTTCTGAGTGAGAGAGCTATTATGAAAGTGAGAAACGGCGTGCGTATTGTTGGGCGACCGGGATCAGCGTGGCTCACCCTATAAACAGTCGGTGCAGGATTGCTGGATCGATAATCAAAACTATAAGACAGGTGAAAAAAAGGCAATCTCTCGCGTAGCTCCTAGGTGCCATTAGTTTTTTTTATGATGCAGTAAATACGAAACTAATTATAATCCATAAATATTGCCTTTACATGAACAAGAAGTGCGAAACTATGTCGAGTTGGGTCACCGTTATGGGCTGAAAACCATCCATAAATAAAAGAACAATTGTCTGGAAGCTAGGATTAATTCATTCTCTGTGGTTATGAGGATGTGGATGTGCGAAGGTAATGGATTGTGGCTATAAATTATCTGTCAGACGGTTTCTAAGGATAAAATGTGTTTCACTATGATAGACCTGCCACCCATAACGTTTATCATTAAGATATCAATTCGTCACCGGGAGACAGATGCGTGACGTCATTGTTCAAATAGTTTTGTGGAAAATGACAATGTGGTCATTGTATACATTATGGTGTAACACAATCACGTCTTCAGCATCCATGACGGGATGGCCTAATTATTGAGATATGGGTTACCTGTCCGACTGTTTTGTATACATCATGGCGTAACACAAACGTCTTCAGCATCCATGACGAAAAGCCCAGCAGTGTGGACTTCTGGTTGCCTTCCAGAACAACAACGTCAACATGTTGGTGAGACGAGCTGCAGCGTTGCCACTTGTGAGAATGTGTGACATTGATGATGTGTTGGTCAACACCCTTGATGAGGCTGATTTTGGACAATGAAAATGCCATAAACTTTGCAGACTACGTCACTGAGCAGTAGGTGGACAACGACAACCGTGAGATGTGGAACCACTTTCACACTTGTAGTCCACGTACGACAAACCACCTCGAGAGGTGGTATTCAAACCTGAAGAGACTTGGCAGAAACCACCCGAACCTCTACAGGTTCATTGAGTTCATCCAGAGTGAGCAGGGAATTTGTGAGATTTTCTTCATGCAATTGCAGTCAGGTAGCCTTGTGCCACCAAAGAAGAAACGCTACCAGAACCAAAAACAATCTAGTACCTGCTACTAAACAAACATGGTAGGGATTAACGATTTGTCAGCTACTAGACAAGTAGGAAGTCACTATTTCTTACTACCCCCGAAGTGAAGACTACACTAAACGCCAAATGATACGTTACCGTCCTCCCCTTATGCATTACTTAAAATATATCAAAGATATGTTAGAAGGTATAAGTTTACAAGAAAGCTTAACAACACAGCTTTATGCAAATTAGGGAAAAAAATCGCAAATGCATTCACATTTAGGTGAAATGCATCTTTTGTCAGAAGACTTAATTTGTCCTATTTTCGACCATGCCGAAAAAAACCAATAACAGTGATTTAGATGTCCAAGAGAAAACTTGAAATAAAATTCTGCTTTGAAACGAAGATAAACAATTTAAAGTCACCAGTTTTCAACTATTAAAACAAGAAACAACTGTTGTAGAGTGTGTAAAATTGTAAAAGAATCATTCCTATGATTTCAGTCTGTGAAAACAAGTACAACGTGTCTTTGATATTGTGACAAAGTGTTTAGGAACACCTAAATGATCTTTGTTAACAGTTTTGTTTGCAAAATAACATTTTTCCATTTTCTGTTTACACATAGCAAAATCAGTCGCCAAAACGTAGCAATGTTCAAACAGTATTTGCATCAATTTCACGTGTAGGGTGATTCTACAGGGTATAAAGAGAGCCTAGAATGCATGATCTGATACACAAGTACGAGAAATATGCCACGATTAACAGCTGAAGAGAGAGAATGAGCCAATGAGATGTTGCAGATGGGGTCGACATGCCTGATGCCGACGCCCTCGGATGCTACCATATCACGGTTATGACTTATTCAGCGCTACAGACAGACTGGGGTCACCGTAGACAGACCAAAAAGTGGACGTCCACGCATCACAATGCAGCAGACAGTTTCATCCTCACTTGAGTAGATTTTAAGAAATGTATTTAGCAAGGAGGGTAACGTGTCTTTTGGCGTTTAGTGTATATCCAGGTTCTCATAAAAACTCACAGTATATAACGGAAAATAACTTCACTTGATTAACGGCGATTGGGTGAATTTAACGCCCCTTTGAACATTATTCCCCACATGTCACGGCCTGTCAGCGTTTCGGGGGAGGGAAGCCCGAAGTGATGCAGGTCCCAAATACAGGGCATTAATCAAGGCGAACAAGGAGTCATAGGTTTCTGGCGTGCCAAAGGGATGCAGGTCCCACATACAGGGCACTAATCAAGGCGAACAAGGAGTCACAGGTTTCTGGCGTGCCAAAGGGATGCAGGTCCCACATACAGGGCACTAATCAAGGCGAACAAGGAGGCATAGGTTTCTGGCGTGCCAAAGGGATGCAGGTCTCAAATACAGGGCACTATTCAAGGCAAACAAGGAGTCATAGGTTTCTGGCGTGCCAAAGGGATGCAGGTCCCACATACAGGGCACTAATCAAGGCGAACAAGGAGGCATAGGTTTCTGGCGTGCCAAAGGGATGCAGGTCCCACATACAGGGCATTAATCAAGGCGAACAAGGAGTCATAGGTTTCTGGCGTGCCAAAGGGATGCAGGTCTCACATACAGGGCACTATTCAAGGCGAACAAGGAGTCATAGGTTTCTGGCGTGCCAAAGGGATGCAGGTCTCAAATACAGGGCATTAATCAAGACGAACAAGGAGTCATAGGTTTCTGGCGTGCCAAAGGGATGCAGGTCCCACATACAGGGCATTAATCAAGACGAACAAGGAGGCATAGGTTTCTGGCGTGCCAAAGGGATGCAGGTCCCACATACAGGGCATTAATCAAGGCGAACAAGGAGTCATAGGTTTCTGGCGTGCCAAAGGGATGCAGGTCCCACATACAGGGCATTAATCAAGGCGAACAAGGAGTCATAGGTTTCTGGCGTGCCAAAGGGATGCAGGTCCCACATACAGGGCATTAATCAAGGCGAACAGGGAGTCATAGGTTTCTGGCGTGCCAAAGAGATGCAGGTCCCACATACAGGGCATTAATCAAGGCGAACAAGGAGTCAAAAGGGACACAACTCCGCACAATGAATTGCGTCACCCATATTCCCTGCTGATCACAAAGTTTTGTTACAAACCTTAACGCCTTTGTACGGGGCTCAGAACAGTAGTATCTCAGAAAAATACTCAAACACTGAAGGCTTCTGAGAAACGTTGCAAGCATCTTTGTCTGGGTATGTCCGTGCACATTTCTTTCCGGGATATGGTTATGACAGCAAAATCCCGGTAATGCGACATGTACAAATGCAAACAGCTTCTCTGTAAACCTGGCCAAGTGCAAATAAGTTAATCTGTAAGGTGGTCCCTTGAAAACAATGGTAAAGCAAAGTCCTAAGCCAGCTTAGTACAATAACATCCCTTTAGGTGTGTTTCCGTGTTTCATAACATAACCCTTACAGGACCTCTCATGAGTATGCCATAAACATTGCCCTGTCGGTACGTACTCATTCGCTTTGTATTCTTTCTAGGTTTGTTTCTATATTCTACATTGGAGAATTTAAAATACATGCTGCTAAACCAACTTGCGAACAATTACATTGATAAATGTTATTTTTCATCACTTTTTTTACGAAGCAATGCCATATATATAGCTAAAAGTACAGTCCTGGACAGTCACACACTCCAACTCTAACAGTGAGTTAGATAGATACTCACATACAGGTATTGGTGGGTTGGATAGATAGAGATGAGGTGGATTAACAGTCACAGACAGGTGGATATGAGGTAGATTGACAGTCACAGACAGGTAGAGATGAGGTAGATTGACAGCCACAGACAGGTTGAGATGAGGTAGATTGACAGTCACAGACAGGTAGAGATGAGGTATATTGACAGTCACAGACAGGTGGATATGAGGTAGATTGACATTCACAGACAGGTAGATATGAGGTAGATTGACAGTCACAGACAGGTAGATATGAGGTATATTGACAGTCACAGACAGGTAGAGATGAGGTATATTGACAGTCACAGACAGGTAGAGATGAGGTATATTGACAGTCACAGACAGGTGGAGGGAGGTGAGGTATATTGACAGTCACAGACAGGTAGAGATGAGGTATATTGACAGTCACAGACAGGTGGATATGAGGTAGATTGACAGTCACAGACAGGTAGAGATGAGGTATATTGACAGTCACAGACAGGTAGAGATGAGGTAGATTGACAGTCACAGACAGGTAGAGATGAGGTATATTGACAGTCACAGACAGGTAGAGATGAGGTAGATTGACAGTCACAGACAGGTAGAGATGAGGTATATTGACAGTCACAGACAGGTGGATATGAGGTAGATTGACAGTCACAGACAGGTAGATATGAGGTATATTGACAGTCACAGACAGGTGGATATGAGGTAGATTGACAGTCACAGACAGGTGGATATGAGGTAGATTGACAGTCACAGACAGGTGGATATGAGGTATATTGACAGACACAGACAGGTAGAGATGAGGTATATTGACAGTCACAGACAGGTGGATATGAGGTAGATTGACAGTCACAGACAGGTAGAGATGAGGTATATTGACAATCACAGACAGGTGGATATGAGGTAGATTGACAGTCACAGACAGGTAGATGTGAGGTAGATTGACAGTCACAGACAGGTAGAGATGAGGTATATTGACAGTCACAGACAGGTGGATATGAGGTAGATTGACAGTCACAGACAGGTAGAGATGAGGTATATTGACAGTCACAGACAGGTAGAGATGAGGTATATTGACAGTCACAGACAGGTAGAGATGAGG